CCCATCACCCTACTCCTATCTCTCTCCTCTCCTCCTTCCTCTCCATCTCCCTCCTCTGCCTCCTCCCCATCTCATCCTTTCTCTCCTCCTTCCTCCCCTCTCCTCCCACTTTCCCCTCCTCCATTCCTTCCCTCGCCCCAATATCTTCCTCTCCCATCTCCTCATTATCCCATATGCCCCCTCTCCTCTACCCTTAACTTCTCAGCACTGCCCTCTTCAGGGGCCTAAAGACCAAACCCACCCGCCCATTTCCACTCAGGGTCCGGAAATGCCCAGCTAGGGGCTGTGTGTCGGGCTGGGGCAAGGGGGCTGGGGTGGGGCCCACTTGAAGTTGGGCCTAGGGTTCTCTGAGGGGCCGGGGTAACCCTTCTTGTCTTTGTCTGCACCCTGACGAAGCAGGCGGGAGATGTACAGGTCAGCCCCACGTCTGGGACCTTCCGCATGCCTCTTGGCTTAATTCCCTCTTCTCCCCCACACCCTGGCTTCTGCATCCCCTCCAGAAAATTCCTGCCCCTGTTCCCCGCCCCTCGCCCTTGGCTCTCAGCCCCCATCCTTCTTCTCTCCCCCATCCCCACTCCCAACTACACATTCCCTTCCCAACGCTCAGCTTTTGCCAATTTAACTTTTTTTTTTAACTTCTGTTTAAAAAAAAAAATCTCTCAGCTTTCCTCAAAGCAGCGAAGCATTGTGGTCTGAGGTCACGGGGAATGGGAATGGGGTGGGAAAGGCACGCGCATGGTTGGGCTTAAGGCTTGGGCTCCGGAACCAGGCAGACTTGGGTTCAAATCCTGACCCTTGGCAGTTGGCTGTGCGACCTTAGTCACGTGGCTTATTTTCTGAGCCTCGGACGGCATCTGGCCGGTGGCCCCCGGGGCCCCGGGGCTCTGCATGTGGTCTCAGCAGTGTCTGCCTCACACACAGGCCGTGCTCCGTATTGCGAGCCGGAGTGAATGTGGCTCCGGCCGAAGCTTGTCACTGGGGCTTCTCGTTGGCATGACTGGGGTGGCCCTGGCCCTGGGTCCGCACCCAAGGCTCCAGAACACGGCTGTGGGACTCTGTGCCCCGTGTTTCTGCTTCCAGACCTCTCTGGATCTCTCTTACATCTTCTGTCTTCCTGTCTCCTTGTCTGCCTGAGTCTCTCAGTGTCTCTCTTTTTCTCCCAACTTGTTTTGTCTCTTGAGACTCTTTACGGTTCTGCATCTTTATTTCATTCTGGGGACCTCACTCTTGGGATATCAAGTGTAGGGTTGCGCATGTTGTGGGGGAGGGGAGGTGCCGTACTGAAAGTTGTTAGGGGATTCTGGGAGAAGACTGCCAGAGGTTGGGAAAGGCCCAGAATTTGGGGAAATCTGGAATTTGGGATAGAGATTGGGAACTGGGGACAGAGGCTCGGTCTGGGAGGGTCTGGGGTGAGGGCTGGGGGCCTGAAGTGAAAGATCAGCAAGGTCTGGGGTGGAAATGGATGCGGGCTCTCAGATGGGGGAGGGGATGCCCGGCACCTAGGCTGCGGGCTGGAGCCCAGGCCGTGGACAATGGCACAGGTTGGGGCTGAGGCCTGGGGCCTGGGGCCTGGGGCCGGGCTGCTAGTCGGGCTGGTGCTGAGCCCCATGTCCCCACAGTCAGGTGGCTCGGACCAGGAACGCACGAAGAAGAAGCGCCGAGGGGACCGGTACTCTGTGCAGACGTCACTGATTGTGGCCACACTCAAGAAGATGCTGCCCATCGGCCTGAACATGTGTGCGCCCACTGACCAGGAGCTCATCGTGCAGGCCAAGAACCGCTACGCCCTGGTGCCTGCACAGCCCCATTATGGGAACCTGCCAGCACCCTGCTCAGCACCCCACCAAGCCCCCAGGACCCTACTGAACCCCCAGGATCCCATTGGGAGTCCTCTCTTGGGACCCTAATGAATCTTTCTCCAGGACACTGAGGACTCATGGGATCCCCTGGGATGCCCTGAACCTTCCCCTAGGTTGCTGAGAATCCAGGGCTCTGCCCAATACCTTAGGATATTGGGCAAAGCCCTGGGACCTAAGGATCCTAATTGGAACCCCATCGAAACCCAGGAATATCATTAAGACCCCTGGGATCCAAGGACCATATTGAGCCTTCAAGGACCCTCCTGAACACCCTCCCCCAGAACCATGCCTAACCCGTTAGGACCCTGAAGGCCCCACCAGAGACACCATGAGCCCCCCTGAGACGCCTCTGAGTCCTCCACCAGGACCTCCCATTGGGACCCATTGAGTCCTCCATGATCCCACCGGCCCTCCCCTGAACCTCTGGGTCCACACTGAGCTCTCCAGCTCACCAGCTCTTTCCCTCAGGACCCTGCTGACCCTGCCCTCTGGGCTCTGTTGACTCTCAGGGTTCCAGTGAGCACTCTGATCTTAAGTATCCCCCAGGATCCTAATGGCTCCTTCCCCAGAACCACACCCAAACCTGTGATGTATCAGGATTCCTGAGATCAACTGATCCCACTCTCTGAACCCCCTGAGGCTCCAAGGAGGACTCTCAGGATCCCATGTACCCTTAGTATGGAATAGCATCCCCCATCCTTACCAGCCTCAGGGATCCTGAGAAGTCCTTCCAGGACCCTGCCCAAGACCCCTTGAGTCTCCCCAGGACTCTGCTAAACACCCTGACAACCTATTAACTCCTCTGGGGCCTCGAAGACCCCTGACTCCCCCTGGTATCACAAACACCCTCTTTCCTGGAGCCCTAAAGTCTCCTCCCTTCAGGACCTCAATCTCCTCCTAGGACCTGCTGAGTCTTGCCAAGAACCCACGGAGCCCTCCAGGGCCCCTCTGACCCCTCAACTTGGTCTTTGAGGGCCCCTCTTCTCTGGGAATCCCCCCCGCTGACCCTTCTTTGGCCTCCATGAAAACCCTGCTGGTGACTTGGTTGATCTGCCTGATCCCTCATGACCTCTGCTGATCTTGTTGTCTCCCTTATACTCCCCCCCCCACCTCCTTTGATCTTCAAAAACTCCCTGCCCATCTCGCAGCCCCACTTTGACCCTCCTCTGACCTCCAATAATCCCTCGGTGGCCTCATTTGACCTTTGAGGGCATTCTCTCATCACTCCCTACCTCCACTCGCATCCCCACAAGGCCCTTCTAATCCTTACTGTCTCTTCAACGTGCATCTGTGGCCTCTAGGACTCCCTTCTGACAATTCCTGATCATCGGACCCTTTCAGTTTCTCCCAGATGCCCCCCTCCCCACAAGCCTCTCGCCAGCTGCTGGGATGATGGGCCTGGAAGGGAAAGGGATGTGGGTTAAGGAGGATGCTGGGCCATCAGAGTGACCCAGTCTGGCCATGTCTCCCCAGAAAGACACAGATGAGGAGGTCCGGGAATATCTGCAGAACAACCTTCACCTTCAGGGAAAGGTACCCTCCTTAATCTGCAACCACAAGGGGCACGTTAGGACAGTAGCAACAATAATAACCAAGTATACTTACTCTGTACCAGGCAGGGTGAGAAGGACCTTAACCTGTACTCACCCACCGTATGAATGGTCAGAATGAATGGTCACGGCACCGAAAGGGGGGCGGGGCAGCCAGAGAAGCCCACCTCGAGCGAGCGGAGGGGCCCTCAGAGGAGCCCGGCTGGGGACCCGGGAGCCAGCAGGGGGAGGGACCCTCACGCCGGCCGCCGTTCTTCCCTCCCGTCAGGTGGAAGGCTCCCCTTCTTTGCGCTGGCAGATGGCCCTGTACCGGGGCCTCCCGGGCCGTGAGGAGGACGCCGACGACCCCGAGAAGATCGTGCGCAGGGTCCAGGAGGTGTCTGCGGTGCTCTACCATCTGGAGCAGGTGGCTGGGCTGGAAGGGTCTTGGGAGGGGGCGGGGAGCTGGGGGCAAGGGGCGGGGCAAGGGGCGGGCCTTGAATCTGTGGGCGGGGTCTGAGGGTGAACCTTGGGCCTCTGGGCGGAGCCTGGAGTTAAACGCGAGGCTTTAGAAGGGAATTTGGGAACCCCAGGGGAAGGACCTGGTGCTTAGATCTCGGGCCTAGGGGCGGGGTCAGGGTCAGAATTCGGGGTCTAGAGTGGGGCCTGGTGAAGACGCCTTGACTCTGGGCAGGACCGTGGGTGGGTCTCTGGATGGTGACGGGCCTGGGTAGTGACCCTGGGCCTGTGGGCGGGCTTAGGACAGACATTTCGGTCTGGAAGCAAAGCCCAGGTTCGAACCTTGACTCTCTTGGTACGGCCGGGGAGTTCCTACAGCCCTGTGAGTTGGGCCTGAATTTGGGCCTGGGCATAGATGGGCAGTTTCACCCAGGGGGTCTGGGGTAGGAATCAGATCGGGGTAGAGGCGGGGACATGACAGATTGCCGCCCGCGCCCCCCCCCCCCC